ATCCCAACAACCTAAATAGAGTATAAAAGGCACAGAAAGACACTGTTAAACTCACTTGTTGCTTTTGTTCTCTTTCACTGCCATGACAGTGCTTTGGAGCCAGTGGATTATGAACTGAAACCTCTGCAAAATTTAGGCTAAATATACCCTTCTTTCTTTAACTCTGGGCATCAGGTATTTTTGTCTCAGCAAGAGAAAAGTAACTAAATGAACAACTCAACAGTAAGACATTTCCTGCAGATACTCCAAAAGACACTGAAATCATCTAGGACAAGAAAATGGTATTGACTACCTACTCCTATTTCTAATGATCCTATGAATGGCCTATTCTCAATTTAATTTATTTCAACTTTTGTTTCCTAAATATGGCCTTTATTACAATGTTACCTACTCTCCTTGGGCCCCAAGGAGGTTCCCCAGTCCTGTATTATGTATGTATTTACTCCTAGGCAGTCTAGATATACTTCTCATCAATTGGTCCCTCGATAAATCAGAGAAACATAAAAACAAACAAACAAACATTTTCAACTTGATTACTTTCAACTGAAGCCTCTATATTTTTTGAAGGCTCTAAATTTGTATTTCTGATACATACAAAAAGAAAAAAATAGTAAAAAATAGAAATGTAGATATGTAAATAGAGGATTTAAAATATCAAGTAACAGATAAAACACTTACTTTACTACTGAATTTTAAGAGTATACCTGGAAATAAAAATCTCACTATGAACAAATGACCCCCATCTTCTACTGCATTTTCAAATAAGTAACCAATGTTTCTCTGACCTTGCTATTCTCGTTAGTCCATCTCTTTTTTAATGCAACCCTGTGCTATCTCTTATACTCTGTTGTTCATTAAACAACTGAAAATACATTTACAGAGTATCCTTACAGGCATGGTGGCACACATCTGTAATCCCATCTAAGACTACATATTAAAAATCCTGCCTCGGGGGCTGGGGATTTAGCTCAGCGGCATAAGCAGCTGCCTTGCAAGCAGGCAGTCGTGAGTTCGATCCCTGGTACTGATTAAAAAAAAACGAAAAAGACCAAAAAAAAAAAGTCTGGCATTGGATAAAAAAAAAAAATTACTTCTTGGACTCCAATCTATGGATTTCTACACTGACTCACAAAGATTTAGCCAGCCAAATTTGCAAGCAGGACTACGAACACAGCAGTGAACAACTTTGTTAATCTAAAACAAAAAGCTATATTTAAAAAAAAAAAAAAAAAAAAAAAGCTATATTTCAACTCCTTATTTAGAAAAACATCTTCACCTTCATCTATAAGGAATGATTTATGAGTACGATGTGCTAACAAATAAGCAAGCACAGCATATGTGTGCTTCTAAATAATGAGTTAAATATTGTACATCTTCCAGATCTCTGTGAGCTAATCTATTAATTAAAGCTGGTAGAGACCTCTGTTGAATTTTACATTATTAAAGGGTGAACTGAAATATGTTGTCCTATTGTTGTCACAGAGAATTAATAAAAAAGAACAAAACCATATGATGTCTAACTATAATAAGGAACAAAAGCACAAAAAAGAAAATTGTAATGTCTCTAAGCAAAGAGTAGAGTTACTCTTGATACTAAAAGAGCCTTGATACTAAGCCTTGAGCCTTCAGAAGTACTGTAATTTAGTTGTTGACTCTCACTTCATTCAGATAACTACAATTACTTTTAGTTTTGGTACTGACACATAAGGCAATGGATATTACATTTAATGCTGAGTTTGAAACCAGTGTTGGAGAAAACTTATGCATCATCCCCAGACATCTAAAAACAAACCAGAGAAGCAAAGTGGCTGTCCCAAGAAGAACGATGTGATATTAAAAAAAAAAAATTACCTTCAGTACCCAAAGGCCTGTATTTGAGGTCACCTGATAATTAACAATGGCTTAGTCTATTATACGCTTCTAAATCTTCACAGAAGTATTTTTAAGAAGGGTAAGTGTCTTAAAGATCTGAAATAATCACAAAGGCACTAAAATTAGACTTGACTCTCGTTTGTTACTCTTATTTGATTAGTAATGGCATGAATATGGAAAAAGGTTGAGAATCAGCAAAGTACTTTTAAAACTATCTTGTAAATATTAATATTAAAATCTAGAATACATGAAAAAGGCCATCTATGACAAACCAAAAGCCAACATCATACTAAATGGACAAAAACTGAAAGCTTTCTCTCTAAAATCAGGAACAAGACAAGGATGACCACTGTCTCTATTCTTATTCAATATAATCCTGGAAACTTTAGCTGGAGCAATTAGACAAGAGAAAGAAAAGGAATAAAGATAGGAAAGGAAGAAGTTAAACTATCAGTATTTGCAGATGACATGATGCTGTACATGATGCTGTTCAAAAACATGACCATAAGACTTCTAAGATTTAATAAGCAATTTCAGTAATGTAGCTGGTTACAAAGTCAACACTCAAAAATCAATAGCCTTCTTGTACACGAATAACAAACTCACTGAGAAAGAAATCAGGGAAATAATACCTTTTACAACAGCATCCAAAAAAATTAAATACCTAGGAATCAATCTACCAAAGGATGTAAAAGACCTCTACATTGAAAACTACAGTACTCTGAAAAAGGAGATTGAAGAGGATATTAGAAAATGGAGAGCTATCCTATGCTCTTAGGTAGGAAGAACTAATAAAGTGAAAATGGCCATACTTTCAAAAGTGTTATACAAATTCAATAAAATCCCAATCAAAATTTCAATAGCATATCTCCAAAATTAGAGAAAACAACCCTAAACTTCATCTGGAACCAGAAGAGACCTAAAATAGCAAAAGGCAATCCTGGGCAACAAGGACAAGACAGGGGACATCACAACTACTGACTTGAAATTACATTAAAAAGCTACTGTGATTAAAAAAACAAAACAACCAGTGTGGTACTGGGAAAAAAAAAAACAAAAACAAAAATGGAACCAAAGATCAATGTGATACATTAGAAGATGAAAAAACAACTGCAGTCACACTAAGCCACTCTATCTTTGACAAAGGTGCCAAGCACATTCACTGGAAGAAAGATAGCTTCTTTAATAAATGTTGCTGGAAAAACTGGCTCTACATATGCCAAAGATTAAAACTGGACCCACATCTTTCACCATGTACTAACTAAAATCAGAATAGATCGAAGATCTCAATATTAAAACAGAAACTTTAAATCTGGTTGGAAGACAGAGTAGGTAAAACTCTTGAAGACACTGGTATAGCAAAGACTTTATGAACAAAACCCAGATTGCAAAGGAACTATCACAAAGAATCAACAACTGGGATCTCATCCTACTGAAAAGCTTTTGCACAGCAAGAGAAACCACAAACACAGTAACTAAGAGACAACCCCGCAATCTGGGAGAAAATGTTTGCCAATTGTTCCTCAGACAAAGGAGTACTATTGAGAAGATATAAAGAACTCAAAAAAAATCAGTCCTCCCAGATTTAAAGACTCAGGCCAAACACGAGTGTCTGAAATGAATACACACTTCTCAGATGAGGAAATACAAAGAGCAAATAATGTGAAAAAACATTCACTATCACTCGTCATTCAAGAGATGCAAATTAAAACAACACTGAGATTTCACCTCACCCCAGAAAGAAGGGCTAGTATCAAGAAATCAAATACAGAAGGGGCTATGGGAAAAAGGAACCCTTCTCCACTGTTGGTGGGAGTGCAGACTAGTGCAACAACTGTGGAAGTCAGTGTGGAGATTCCTCAAAAAAACTAGGATTGGAGGTACCATTCACCCCAGTTATTCCCCTTCTAGGTATCTCCCCAAAAGAATTAATAACATCATACCACAAACTCACGACTGCATGTTTGTAAGGTAGACACTATGCTACTGAGCTAAATCCCAAGCCCCTATAGCAGCACACTTTATAATAGACAGATCTTAGAAATAACCTAAATGCCCATCAGCTGAGGAATGGATTTTGGAGACCACTACGAAGCAGTTCTGAGCAGGATTTAAATTTTACTAGTTGGCTTTCTATGTTTACTGTGAGTCTGTCCTAGGCCTTGGCCCCTTGCCTGGCGGTGGGAGCTGATTCACAGTAAGTAAACCTCTATGAATCACTGGTCCTGGCTGAGGCCTATAGTGGCTTGTGAAGCCACAGATGCCTCAAAGGGCAAGATAAGGCCACAGCTGACACTTGGCTCCAACCCCAATTAAAAAGGTAAAAACTACAGCTACAAAAATTACTCCTACAGTCTCACTTCTACCATGTCTTCATGATAAGACAGTGACTTGATTCTTTACTTGAAGACATCCTTAAAGTGACTCCCAAGATTCTGCTCATTGCCTACGTTTTCCTCAGTTTCCCTGCCTTTTGTCCTTGGTCCTAATAAAACTGGGCTAATCCAGAAAAGTCTTTGTTACAGCCCTCAGAGTCTCAAGCTCAGCTAAAGGGTTTTGACCCTCCTGGAGCCCTAAAATCATACAATTTGTCTCTTTTTATTTAAACCTCTTCCATACCCTCATTTGGGAGACAGAGATCTAAGTCAAGACCCAATAAATGGATAAAAAAGATGTGGTATTTTTATACAATAGAGTACTACTCATCCATAAAGAATGATAAGCTGGACACTTTTATAGGTAAATGGATGCACCTTGAGACCATATTCATTTGTGAAATAAGACACATGTGTAAACATCATTTTGTTTCATTAATGTGACAAGCTGAAAGAAAAAAACATGTTTATATGTATATAAAAAAATTAGTTAAGATAATTATACTACTGACTTTTCTGAGTTCACTGAAGAGAAAGATTTGTGCTGGTATTGTTCAGACAAATGAATGCAGATGTCTTTTGCTCTGGGTGAATGATTTAGGGATGACAATGTGCAATGTATATACCATTGTTGCCCCCTGATTGATGTGCTTTTAAATTTTGTTGTAGTTTTTTTTCTTCTTTTATCTTTGAATAAAATGGATTTTTTTAAAAAAGAAATTTAAAAAACCTAGAATACATAAAATAAAGTACCTGAAACTGAACTCTTGGACACTGGATCACAGATAAGTTAGTGCCAATTTTCCTTACGATACTTCGAGATGAACCATATGGCTTTCCTGACCAAAGTACCTGAGGAAATAGGGGAAAAAACAACAGTTTAATTACAAGACTCCCAGAACAGTCAGATTTATTATTGTTGAACTATTCACTGTGCAACACACTAATATATTTAATTATGGCATCAAGATGTTCTAAATGTTATACAAATAGCTAATATTTTTCAATTCAAAGTGAAAAAAATATATATAACTGGTTGTTATTAAACTAATAAAGTTTAATATATAACATTATATAAAAATATAAATACTACATAGCACTTAGAGTAAAATTTTTATTTTTTTAATATGCGCTACTTTTGCTACATGAACTTTTCAAAATAAATCCAAATTAGTACAAAGTTTGGAATGTGAATTTGAGCCATGCATGCCATTTGCTGCACATGAATTGAGGGTATGGAGGAGTGAAATCCAGTTGCACTGCTCTGCAAGCATTACATCTTCTTCAATGGCTTTATCTTTAATTTGCATAAAGGCATTAAATGAGTTAATGGTATCTTAATGAGCAGAATTTACCCAATACAATAATGCACATGGGACATTACACTATGCTTAAAGCAAAAAACAAAAACCCCAGAACAAAAAGCAAACAAAACGCACACATGTACGATATTAAATCATTACAAATTGTACCTTGGAATTTCTCCCCCAGTAAATGATCTTCCCTTAAAGAGAAAAACTATCCGTTTTGAGTGCTACACCTGAAAGCCTGGACAGAAGAGGTAAAGAAAAGTAGTATGCCATTAAAAGCACTTTTAAAAGAAAAGAATGAGAATACCATGACTATTAACCTCAGTCATTAAACTTTAACATGCACCTATATATTCTGAAGATTAAATAATATCAACACAGCTATATATAGATTCTGAACAATGGACATTATTCCCTTCTTAAGGTTACTTTACAGCCACTCTAATTTAAAGACTGGAATTACCCTAATAAAAACAATATGACTGATGGGCGTGGTGGCACATTCCAGTAATCCCAGCACTTGGGAGGCTGAGGCAGATGGATTCTTATAAATTTCAGACCAGCCAGGGCTACAAAGTGAGCCCAAGGCCAACCTGAACCACATAGCGAGATCTTGTCTCAAAAAGACAAAAAAAATTTTTTAAATTACATATACATACATACATACACACACACACACATATGATCAAGTAATCAGTCATAGCAAACAGTAACTCCAATACCTAACCCAAACTAGGTCTTCAGAACCAGACCTTCTAGCTGTTCTAACAGTATGCACAATTTATAAAATGAGAAAAAAAAATTGATTTTTTAAATTTTAACAACCAAATTCAATTTAAGGATAGTAATAGAAATCAAAGTGAGATTTATGGAAGAATGAAATTCCTTGGCAATCTACTTTAATTTTTAAATAATTTATTATCATTTTTACATTCACTGACTCTTAGCAGAATTCCACAAAATATAATATAATATACACTGATAATCAACAGAACCTGTAATTCTTCCTTTGGAAATATAAATAAAATGGATGGTACAGCTGGGCAGAATAGTACATGCTATAACCTCAGCTACACATAGGCTGAAGCAAGAGGACTAAACATTAGAGACCAACCTAAGCAACTCAGCAAGGTCCTCTCTCAAGATAAAATATAGGAGGGGCTGCAGGATGTAGCTCAGGGGTAGAGTACTTGCCTAACATAGACAAACCCCAGTACTAAAAAACAAAACAAACAAACAAAAAAAACTTCTTGATGCAGGGTGAAAATTGTGCCTATAATCCCAATATTTTGGAAGGTTGAGGCAGGCGAATCAAAAGTTTGAGCCTAGCGCTAGCAATGTAGAGACACTGTCTCAAAATAAAATATAAGAAAGAAGAAGGGTTGGGAATGTAGTTTGGTATGAAGGCTTTGAGTTCAATTCCCAGTATACATACATACACACACACACACAGATATGAATGCTAAAATACAAATACTATAGCTAGACATCATGGCTCATGCTTGTAATCACAGCTGCTCAAAAGATGAGGCAAAGGACTATAAATCTGAGGCCAGCCTGAGTCACTCAGTAAAACTTTATCTCAAAATAGAATTTTAAAAGGATTGGGGATGTAGATCATTGCTGGAGCACCCTGAGGCTCAACTCTCATTACAAAAAAAATAAATAAATAAAAGATTTAAAAGAGAAGTTATTCCTTTAAGCCCCTTGAACTCACTACATAGTACACGCTGACCTCAAACTTATGGTGATCCTCCTGCCTCAACCTTTTAAGCGCTGGGATTACAGGTGAGCACGACCATGCCCAACCACGGCAAAATTACTCTGAAATTTAAAGTAAAGCATCTTTCACAGCAATGATCATTCAGGGGATCATAACATACTCGTAATAACATGAGGACTGAGGTGAAAAAAATACCTGACTAGCGGAAAATGAGAAACTTCACTGTTCTACAAAATCAGTGAAACAGTCCCATCCAAGAAATATGGACAAGTAATTTTAAAATACAGTATTTAAGGAAACATTTGACTTATTTATATATTTTAATAGTTTTGATCTCTTTCAAAAAATAAACCCATAGGACAATGGTAATTACACCATTCAGTCTTTTCACTTTTGAATCTTCTAGTTAGTCAGAAGTCAAAACTCTCTTAGGAATATTTATACATCACAATGTGACAATCACATAGTCTAAAGTGAATCTTCCCATCTCTCTAGGAAACAAAGATCCTGCCCAAAGATGGAAAGGTCAAAAAGCGCACAAAGAAAATTTAAAAAGGATTTGCCAAGGTCAGAAACTAATGTTTCTGCCAGCTTTTAGCATTTCTCACTCTGCATGCAGCAGGGATAAATTTCAACTATTATCTTTCCATCTGTTTAATCTCAAGAAGAAAGAATACCAGGTGCTTTCTACAAGAGTAGTGGATTTTAACAACAAGGAAAAAGTAGACTATTTAGGTTTTGTCTGCAAAGTTAAAGGAAAAAAATAGTTTTTGATTTTTTTCCAAGTATACACAGTCAACTAACAAAATGTTGTTCTGTTACCTGTGAATTGTACAGTACTTAGCACCAAGATATATGAAGCAAGAATCCGTAAGCTAGTGATGAGAAAATTTGGAAAGGGCCACAATCTTTATTGAGTAATAGAAAAAAGTGAGAGGAAAGAGTAGCTAACTTTCAGGAACTTTAAAAAAAAACTAGGTATTGATACTTTATTTATTCATCCTTCATAGAGGGGAAGAAACTGTAAATGGCTGTGAAGAAACAGTGAACAGATGGTACCAAAAAGTCACCATCTGTGAACTGGGAAACTGCATGACCGAAGTGCAGCTCCCACCATAACTTGAACTCTGTCTTATCAGTACTGATTTGGAGAAGGGTAGACTTCCTCTAAACTTTCAATAATATTTCTTCAGATAGGAGAGAATGTAGGGAAAAAGCTATCACTACCAGGAAATTTGATCTCATTGAAAATAAAATACCTCAATTCCCTTAAGAAATAACTAAAAAGAAAACCAGCACTTTATCTATAAAACTATTTATAAATAATCTAATGAGTTGTCTGTGTCTAGTAATGACAGTCTGTAACACAGGGCAAGAGTCTGAAAGTGATGACAGCGAGGAGGATGACAACAGTGAAGCAGTCTGTTCTTTTTAGACATCATGAAACTATACTGTAGAAGTGACTGCTATGTGAGGTTACAATCTGAAGTTGTCATCTATCTCGTCCACTATAAACATACTCAAGTTTTATGTGGTAATTCATTTGTTATGAACAAAATATTTAGTAAGAGAAACTATAAATTTAACTCTAAGTACATTAAATATATTTTCCTTAAGAAACAAAGTGATACAATTTGATTCACAAATTCCTGAAAACATAAGAATATGTAACTGTTTTCTGAGAAGGTCCATTCCAATAGTCAAGTTTTTAAGGAGTCTATGAGCCACAAAGTATAAATTCTTAATTCCAAAGTGTAAAGTATTAATTCTTAATGAGTGTCAGAGAAGAAATAGAAAAAAAGATAAAACTTGTTAACGTTTTCAAAATCACTAACTAAAAATTAAGACTTCTGTTAGTTATCCTCTTCTTTTCTCAGAATTCCTAGCCACATTCATATTATTCTGCCAAAGCACAAAAGGAAAATAAAGGTATAATTCTTAAGTATTATTATATTGAACTCACAACCTCATGTTTGCCAAGCAGGCACTTACACTGCTGAGCTATACCCCTGGCTATACACAATGATTTCATTCCTTATAGGAACTTGGTACACATATGTGGGACATTACAGTCTGCCCCCCTTTTAAATCTTCTTGCTCTCCCCTCCCTCCATCTTGCTATTTCATATAAGCTCTACCTTATGATTAATAATATGTATTTCTGAGGATCTGAGATATAAATGAATTCATTACTATGCTTGAAAGTACCCTAAGAATAGAAATACAGAATTTTTCCTGCACCCATTTTATCTGCTTTTAATTTTTCATTTTTTGAAACAGGATGTTGCTGTGTAGTTCAGGCTGGCCTTGAACTCACTTTGTAGACCTTCTAAGCTGGCCTCAAACTCATGGTGATTCTCCTACTTCAGCCTCTTGAGTGCTAGAATTATAGGTATGTGCCACCATGCCTGGCTTTATCTACTTTTTAAAAAATAGTGTAAATTTTTAAATCAGGATTTTGTTTTGTTTTTACTGTTAGGATACCAGTGATAATTAGCTTTTTGTGTTTTACTGTACATATCAACACCACCAAAATAGCCACCTCAGATTGGCTTACTGTACTAACGCTTATAGTACCCAGTGGTTTTGCATAAACTATGAATATTTGGTTGAACAATCTTCTTTACAGATAGGAAACCTGAGGTTTACCATGTTTGACTATTGTGACCAAAGTTAAGGATTACTTAGTGGTAGAGCTGTAATATTAAAAAAAAAAAAAAAAAGAGGAAACCATCGTGCAGTACAGAGGTATTATACATACAAACATATATATATATATATGTATATATATACATACATACACACACATATCTATAAATAAATGAAGGAGTTCAAAAGATGGGAGGAAAGAAATGAAGTTAAAAAAAAAAGAATTAAAAAATATCATTTATATGTACCAACTCCCCACGATAAATATAATCATTTTGTACTACAAATACATTCAATTAAAAAAAAAAAAGAAAGAGAGAAAGGTAGAGCTAAGAAACTTTCTGTTAGGGCCAGGAATGGTGCCACATGCCTGGGATCTCAGCACTCAGGAGGCTAAGGCAGGAGGATCACCACAAGCTCAAGGCCAGCCTGAGCCACATAGTGACTTCAAGGTCAGCATGAAATACACAGTAAGATCTTGTCTGGAAGAAAAAAAATAAAAGAGGAAGCAAAGAAGGAAAGCAAAAATGAAACTCTTATTTTCAGATGTGCAAGGATATAATCTAGATGTACTACATCTCTATTTTTACTCTTAGTCACCAGATTAAAAATACCTTAGAAATTAAAACAAAACAAAGCAAAGCACATATAAACTGTGTACTATGGTACACTCCTGTAATCTCAGCTACTCTGAAGGCTGGGGCAGGCAAATCACAAGTCAAAGCCAGCCTCCACAACTTAGAGAAACCCTGTCTCCACAATAAAAAGGGCTGGAAGTTGTGCCCCTGAGTTCAATTCCCATCACTGCACATAACAAACAAAAACAAAAAAGCTAGATGTGACGGTAGGAACTGTAATTCCAGCACTCTGGGAAGCTGAGGCAGCAAGATCCCAAGCTTAAGGCCGGCCTAAGCAATTTAGCCACTTAGCAAGAACCTGCCTCAAAAAAAGGTGTGAGGGAGGAGGAATTGGGAATGTAGCTCAGTGCAAAGGCCCTGGGATTTTCAGCAAATTGATTAAACTGAGTAACTGATGAATATATACTAGCCTACATATATTTTTAAGTGATCTTTTTTTTTTTTTTTTAATCGGTACCGGGGATCAAACTCACGACTGCCTGCTTGCATGGCAAGTGCTTATGCTGCTGAGCTATTCTTATTAATAGGAAATTCCCTGAGTGATGCTTTCAGTGTTTTGGGCTGGCTCATTCTCTGATGAAAGGAACCCATTTTATAGTTTAAAATGAACAAAGCTAAATAAAATGTGCCTGAAAAATTCTGCTTTATGCCTGAATTAGCACCAGTAATTATCAGCCTAACTTAGAGAGGACAAAACAAAAACACAGGAAACCAAGTCAGGTATGGTAGAGCTGCCTATAATCCCAGTACTTGGGAATGAGTAAAACATCACATTTTGAGTACCTGGCCAGTGTGAACTTCAGAGTAAGACCTTGTCTCAAAAACAAAAGAGTAGCAAAACAATCATTACTGAATGTAGTCAACCATATTCAAGGAAGGTACTATCTATATTAGTTGCTCTTCCTACTATCACAGGCTAACTCTGCAGGAGCAATTTTATGTATCCCTATTTTGTGATGAAGACAGTAAACACCAGGGACAAATCTCAGATCCAAGTTTCTTTAAATCCAGGATCCACAATCTTGCCCCTAAACTATTCTTTATATTGAAATTATAAATAAATACACTGCTTTGGAGAAGTCTCTTCCACCACTTTGAGGGTAATCTTCCATTCTTTCTGGAAGTAAAAGAAACTCTTTTGCTATCACTACTAAAATGTTAATTTACCCAAATGGTGGTTAAAAAAAAAAAGTGAAAATAGTGCACTAAAAAGTACATATTCAAATGATGTAATTTGCCTATATCATTAATAAAATTTAATTCACTAGGCATGGTATTCAGAAAGCTGAAGTAGGAGGATCACTTGGAGTTCGAGGACAGCATAGGCTACCTAGTGAGTGCAAGGACAGCCTGAACTACATAACAAAACTCTATCTCAAAACACACAAATGTGCACGCACACACATACGCACACACACAAAAAAACTTAATTCCATGTCACAGATATTAGAACACTGAATTTGAAAATGAAATGCAAAGCCAGGTGTGGTAGCACTTGCCTATAATCCCAGCACTTTGGGAGACTGAGGAAGAACTATAAATTCAAAACCATCTTGGCAACTTAGCAACTTAAAAGAGATCCTGTTTCCAAAAAATTAAACATAAGTGGTCTGGAGATGTAGTTCAGAGAAAAGGCCCTTGGTTCATTCTCTGGTACCACTATGTCCTGTCCCTCCAAAAAAAAGAAGAAAAACAAGTATTGTACAAATGTGCTTGACACAACTACTCTAATAACTATAGTGGAAGTAGATCAAAACAAAATCTTTATCAGTAGAAAATACTTATAAAAACTAACATCCCTGACATAGTACAATCATAATACTAAAATATTTTTCTTTCTAGTTATATTTGTCATATCTTAGGAGATATGAATCATCTTTTACTTGTTTGATAAAACACATTGCAGCATTTAGTATTAGTAATTCCACATTCAAAGTTACTAAGTGTGAGTCAAATATATTTATTCAATGATTTCTTCCTCTCTAATAACACTGCTTTTAGTGATCACATGAATACATTACAGAAATTTTCGGATAACCCAGACAGCTACTCCCGTTACATACAACACTAGGAAGAGGTTCATTTTTGCGATTTAAATACTAAGCAAAATAGTACATAAACACTGAATTCAAATGTTGGTCACATAGTTCATTTTCTCAGAACAGTTCCTAAAATATCTAAATGTCTGGATTTTAAAATAAATTTTGAGCACTCACCGACTGCATGCTTACTCCAACCTGCTGAAAAACCATCCTCATCAGGCGCTTAATCCAGCCAAGCATTTAGATACCAAAGCCTTTCCAAATTTGCATTTCAAGTACTTCAGGCATACATAGCAGCACATGGTCCACAAAGCAACTGAAAATTTTAAATGCAAATATTAAAATGATTATTTACAACCTTTACTGTATACAATATGAGTTACAAAGTAAGGGAAAAGCATTTAAAAATTTCTTGTATAAATTAAAACAAAATTTGTCAGTGATCAGTTTGCTTAAAGTAGTAATAACAGTACAAGATTTTTTAAAAATTGTTTTTCCAGTCTGAGTTCTTGCTTTAAAATAAAAAAAATCTACTGTGGCTAATTTAAGTAAACTACATTTATGAAAAGATACCAGGTAGACAGTGATCTTCAAAGAACTTGACCAATAGCCTGAAGTGCAGCAGCACTGGTCCTGTGAAGACAAACTATACCAGTCCCCTCGGTTCCTCTTCTCTGCCACCAGCTCCTGAGTCACTCTATCCATAGGAAGACATCTTCGTGATCAAGACTAAAGCTCATAGCCAAACGTGGTGGTGCATTCCTGTAATTCCAGCACTTGGGAGGCTGAAGCAGGAGGATTATTGCAAGTTCAGAGACCATCCTGAGCTATAAAGTGAGCCCAAGGCCGGCCTGAACTACATAGGGAGACCCTGTCTCAAAAAAGACAAAAAAAAAAAAAAAAAAAGACTAAAGCTCATGTATTTTAGTTAGCAAATGGAGGCTGAGGAAGCAAGAAATTAAAATAGTAACAAGTAGATTTTGCTTACCACCAGAAATGAGGAAGATAGGGATTTGAATTTAGATGTTACAAGGTCAAAAACAGTGAGTCCTTTTATAATCAACGGCATCTCCTACTTACGGCCCCAGTCCCCATCACTTACTATATGCCTGACAGAATTAAAATGTTAACTTGTATCATATAGATAAATGCAATGAAGTACTTGGTCTCCAATGAGACAAATCAATACACTGCTTCCACATTAAGGAAATACTGCATTTAAAAGAAACAGTAATCTGGGTGTGGTGGCACACATCTGTTAACCCAGCACTCCACAAGAATCATGAGTTTAAGCCCATCCTGTCTAACTTATCAACTTAGCAAGACCTTATCTCAAACTTTTTAAAAAAGGCTAGAGATTTAACATAGTACAAAGTGGGGGCAGGGAGAGTACTAAACAAAGAAGTGTGCTTGGTCAGACAGTTGATTTACATTTTGATACAAGCTCCTTCTTTCATCATGGAGTGGTCTGTACTGTGAGAACTAAACAATCGTAGGGAAACAAGAGAAAAACATAAACAGCCACAAATATGGTAAACACTGTAAAACTGAACTGAAATGAGCTGTGCCCTACCAACAGAAGAGTGAAAAGGAAGATAAGCCCTAAGGGTAAAAATGAATAGCAATGGAGGAGCCAGAAATACAGGACTGTGTTTAATATTGGGGAAATAGGAAAAAGGAACAAGAATCAGACTAACAAAAGCTGAAACTGCATAGGAGAATCTGACTTCATATGATAAGACACTTCAGAAAGTTTGCTGAAGGGCTGTGTATCTGAATATGTAGCTCATTTGTAGAATACGTGTTCAGCATGAGAGGTCCCTAGGTTCAATCACCAGCACCAACACCAAAAAAAGTTTTAAATTCATTAATGTTCATGCTAAATATTATTTTTGATTCTTTGAACACTGTAGCAAGAAACACAGGTACATTTTAATGTACTCTCTACCTGTTTTCTTAGGGTCTCATTATTATCAAACTCACTATGTAGGCCAGGCTACTTTGAAGTCACAGCATTCCTCCTGCCTCAATCTCCTGAGTGCTAGGATTCTAGGCATGTACCACCACACTTGGCTCTGTAAACCAATTTTCAGCTAGTTTTGTTTTTTTGGCTTTTTTGTGGGTTTTTTTGCGGAAGGCAGAGTATCAGGAATTGGCATGCTTGCCAGGCAGGTGCAGTGCCATTGAGTTATAGCTCCACCACAGCACCAATTTTCAATAGAATAAGAAGAGATAAGCTAAGAAATTCTACAGGCCAAACTCAAAAAAAAAAAAAAAAAAAGTATTGATAAAAAGTGCAAAGAAGTAGAAGAAAATAAGTAGTCCTTGTAAAACACAGAAAGGAAGTCATACTTGGTAGTTTCCTACTGCTACTCTTTCACCAACCTTCTCCAATTCTCCAGCACACCTTCTGGAAACCATCAATGTAAACATCCCTCCAACTCCCTATCTTCAACATACTACTGTGCTCTCCCGGCCCACCCACTTCTTCATCTTTAACTTGGCTAACCCTTCCCACAATTTTCATCTATCTGACCAGGCTCTTCCTATCTTTATTTTCTTCTACCTAATCTAACCAAAAATCATTTACACCATTATTTTCAATTGTTTGTTCTACTAGTTTATGTATCCTGTAAGTCAGAATTTCATGAATCCAACAGCCTACATTTTCTAGGACTAAGCTACACAAAAATTACTAAATTTTTCATTTTGATGTTATTACAAATGTATTATCTCCAGTCTTAGCTGGATCCTCATTACTGCCTAGGAATCTAAGAAATCTTTTTTTTCTCTGCTCTTCCCAGTCTTGCATTCTTCAGAGCAACTATTTCAAACTTTCTCCATGCTACATGCTATAGTTTGAATGTGCCCAACAAAGTTCTTCCAATGGAAACTGAATCCCCAATGCGATGGTGTAGTGAGGTGATTAGATCATGAGAGCTTAGCCTTTGTGAATGTGTTAATATGATTATCAGGGGAGCAGATTTTTGACAAAAAGGATCAGTTGAGAGTAAAGCCCCTCTTGGATATACACACTTCCCCACTGCTCTCCCTTCCCCTCCTCTTTTCCCTTCCCTCCTCCCTCTTCCACTTTACACCACAGGTCAGCACCAAGACCCCTGCTACTACTGGTGACCACGCTCTTGGATGTTCCAACCTCCAGAACAATGTGCCAAATAAATTTCCATTCTTTATATCTTCTCAGCGGATGATCAAGTATATCACTTTAGAAAAATCCCTCACCATACTGCTATGCATGCTCTGCAGTCACCTCCCTCTGAGCCTTAGACAGACTGTCCTATTCCTACTTCCAAGAAGCTGCTCAGGAGTCCTTTCCTCTACCTCACCAGTCTCACATCAGAAACAGCCTGTCCTCTCCCTTATTCTTTCACTACTTGCATCGAGGTTTTCACATCTGTATTCAAACCAAAATCCAAAATCAATTTTAACTTTCTTACCAAATTTGTTGTTCATGTGTTCTTTGCTTGAGAAAATAAGTATTGGACCAGTTATTCTTTCTCTTTCATGTTTCACAATCAAGTTTTTTCCTCCTAAACATGCCATTTCATCACTACTGTCCTTACTACTCTAGTCCTTCACTAGTGTAAAAATCTATTAATTTGACAGTCTCCCACTTCTGTTCTTCCTTCCCATCCATCCTCAACACTGAAGTCCATTTTTATGGACTGGTCTCATTGTTTTCCCTCTTTTACATGCTTCATATATCCCTTGATCCAGTTGCACAGGTAATTCCAGAAATTCAACATGCTCTCTTCAACTCTGGACTTTTCTTCTATTCAGCATTCCACCTACCTACTGTATTCTTACAATAAACTGCCTCCTACTAATCCCTTTGTTTCAGCTTAGTTGTGCTTCCTCTAACAAGTCTCTGCTGCCAGGTGTGGCAGCAAATGCCTGTGATGTCAGCACTCAGAAGGCTAAAGATTCCAGGCAAGCTTAAGATCCATGGTGAACTCAAAGCCAGCCTAAACTACACAAGGAGACCCCACCCCAACCTCTATCTCAAAAAATAAATAAGAGTTAATATATCTAAAAGAGTTAGTTTATCTAAAAGTTAATATATCTAAAAGAGTTAATATATCTATTTGCATTATACATGAGTTAGGTAATTTCAGATACCCTATCCTCTCACTAAGGACAAGTAAACTAGCTGGACAAAACATCAAAAAGTTAAATGAAAGCATCAGAGAAATATGATCAGGGCAAGAATTGGTTCTTTGAAAAAACTAAATACAAAACTACAGACCCCTAATGAGACTTATCAAGGAGAAAAAGAAGGAATACGTTACCAATAACAGGAATGAAAAATAGAACACGTTATGTCCTACAACTATTAAGAAAATCATAAAAGGCAAAATGAGCTATCATGCATGAAGTTACAACAGTGGCAATCTTTGGGTAGGGCTGGTAATAACTGGAAGGGGTATCATTAAGAGGTTTTCTGAAGTATAAACCACTTTCTATTTCTTAACCTGGATGGCTATTATATGAATGTGATTATTAACTAAACTATACATGTTTGTGATTTTTGTTATACTTAATAAAAGAATTTTAAGCAAAAAGATCTACTTTGGAAACACTTAAAATTTTGCCATTGCAACAACAATTTGCTTTTATTAACTGGAACTCTACATATGTCAATTCTTTTACAAAACAACTTAAGTCAATGTATCTCTGTATTACTGTCCTACCTAAATCAGTCTTGCTTTAGTAACAGCTGTTTTATTAACCCAAGTTTGATTTAAAGTAAATTCTAGTTATTAAGCACTTTTTTTTAAAAAACAAACTCACTCTGTAATTTAGGCTGGTCTTGAACTCATTATATGCCCCTAGGCTGGCTCTGAACTCTAGGCAGTCCTCCTACCTCAGTCTCCTTAGTCCTGGGATTACAGGCATGAAACTACCACTAGGCTTATATACTTTTTTTTTTTTTTTCTTTTTCCATTTTATCGGTACCAGGGATCGAACTCACAACTGCCTGCTTGCAAGGCAGGCACTTATGCCACTGAGCTAAATCCCCAGCCCCGGCTTACATACTTTTAAAAAGAAACTCAGAAGCACCATTTTTTTGCACATACCAGCTACAAAATTCAAAATTTTTCTTATTTGGTTTAATGATTCCATTTTCAATCCTTTACATCCAAGATACTTGGTATTTCTGCATTATTGTGTTTAATTTCTTTTGATTCTATTTAATGAGGGTAAACAAAGACTTTTTGGCATTCCTATTCATTTGGTTGATATATCTGTATATTCATCCAACCATCCATCTATTCATTTAGCAGATCTGTCTAT